ATGCTGTGCAAGCAGAACAAAAAAGGGGAGAAACAGACAGATAAAGTGGAGAAGCAAAAACAACACACACACACACCTTACGCATCATCATTAACATCACCATAATGATCATTGGAGACTGCAGCATGGCCAAAGCGAAGCTTTTTTCAGGTATTTCTTGCTGCTGCTTCTTCTGCTGCCTCTATTGTTCTTTTGCAGCTTCTTCTTCTACTGTTCTTATACTTATACTCTACTTATATTGTTTGTTGTACTTTTCTTTTTTTAATTCTTTTAATTCTACTTTTACTGATTTTTCAACTGATCATCTTCAAAATTCTTCTTCTACTGCTTGTTCCACCAGCGCCTCGCCTCGCCTGCTTCTTCTACTGTTACTCCTGCTTCCTTTGCTCCTGCTTCCTTTACTCCTGCTTAGTTTAATATATTAAACTGCTTCCATCAGCGACTGCATACCAAAATCAGAAAAAAAACCTGGGCTTCCTTTTAATTCTTTTTTTTTATTAGTATTTTTCTTCTTTTTCAAATGTATTTTTCTCTCTCTCTCTCTCTTGCTGTTGTTCTTGCTGTTCTTCTCCACTGTGTCTGTCTCTCTCGCTTTTTCTTTTCTAGATATCTCTCTCTCTCTTTCTGTCTGTCTGTCTGTCTGTTTGGCCGCAGTGGAGCGAAGCGGCCTGCTGAGCCGAGCACTTGAGACCTGTTTTGAGTCGTACTTCTGCCTGTTGCTCTTCTTCTCTGCCATGCTGCTGCTGCTGCTGCTGCTGTTGTTGCTGCTTCCTTTGTGCTTTGTGTATTTTCTCCTCTTTTACTTCTACTTCTTCTTTGCCTCCTCCCCCTCCTGCGCCTCCTTCAACTTCTTGTCGATTCACTGCACAAATAAATCTCAGCTTTGAGCGTTATCAACGGGGAACGGTGTTTGTGTGTGTTCAGGACACTCTCTGCCCTTTTCCACTTCTCTGCTTCCCCTCTCTGCCTCTCCCTTATATTCAGTTCTTGCAGTGCCTTTATTCCGATTGTCAAATATATATTCTTCTCTCTCTCCCACTCTCTATCTCTCTGTGTGTGTGTGTGTGAGATTATCGCCAGACTTTGAGCAGGGCCTTGGGCCTGGAGCAGGGTTCTGGAGCCCACGGCACAGGTAGAGAGACACCACACAAACTGCATTGTTTTATCAGAGTCTCTCCTCGACATTCGGCAGGTAGAACTAATGCCAAAAAAAAAACACACATGCACATACACCTACACATACAGACGCCGAGAAAGAGGAAAAACAGAAAAACAAACTGTAGAAAACCAAAATTGTAAAAAAGAAATGGAATTAGATGCCGCGCCCCGGGCCTATTGGGAATATTTGAGCAAGATAAAAACCTTTTTTGATTTCAAACATGATGCCCCATGAATATCCAGTTAATCTTCCATAACTAAGGATATTTCATTTGTGAAATACCCATGCAGATGGTGGTTGCATGTGGATGGCAGATATCGTTCAAGAAATGTCTCAGTTGTTACAAATAAAAATAAAATAATTTGTTATAATTTTATATTATTAGGTTTGCATTCTTTAGATACTTTAGAAATCAGTTAGTTCATTCCAAATCAATTATCAGTGATCACTGAGCATTGATTTTAATCATTTCGAAGCTGTTTCTGTTTCTACGAATATTATTCCAAGATTTAGCCATCAAATGAATTGCACAACACAAACAAAAGATTATCTGCCCTCCAATTAGAGGGCTACCAAAGAATCGATTTAATTTAATTGAAATTGATGTGATTTCCCTAGAAAACTTCTCTTAAGTAACAGTAAGTAGTAATAGCAAAAATTTTGGTTTCTTTTTGTTTTCTTTTTCTTTCTCTTTACTTGACTTTTGCTTTTTTTTTTGCTTGTATGTGCTTCTGTGTGTGTGTTTGTATATGTGTTCCCCCCAGAGGGTTCGCTGAACCTCCAACTCGCATCTTGGGCTTGCCATCAGAAAGGGGTTCCCTACTTTAGCAGGGAGGGACAGGGGACCGGACCTTTCGCTAACTTCCGCTCAATGATTGTAACATCTGCGTGCAGTAAGTAAACTTCTGCGTGCAATTGAAGTTGGCCAAAATGCGATCCGCTCTGTGCGATCCCGCTGCTGCCTGGCTTTGTTCTAACAGCTGCAGAATTTGCATGGAACAATGAATGTGTTTGCCCCTGGTTTTTGTTGGCCTTTCTTTTCTTTTGTTTTTTTTTTTTTAGTATCTTTATCGATGATGGCTCATCAATGAATTTCCTTTTTGCCCTTTGGTTATTTATTGACTTTTACTTGCGACCACTGAGACAGAGAAATGGATCTCGATGGATCGACAGGAAGTTTGCCCCGAAATAAACATAACAGACAGCTGGGATGGTGGTTAGTGGCAGTGGCAGTGGCAGGAGCCGGGCCTCTGGGCCTCAGAGGGAAACACATTCGCACATTCATAGTTCCATCATCAGCGGGGGTGTTGGGCCCCCAAAGAGCTTTCACTGTACATGTTGCTTGGTTGCGGTTCTCTCCGTTCGCTGTTTGCTGTTCGCTATTCGCTGTTCTCTGCTCTCAGTTGTCGATTCCCCCTGTGGCCAGGCTGTGTTGTGTATCATCCTCCAAGGCCCTTCAACATTCAGCTTGGCTTGGTGTGTTCTTGGTTCTTGGCTCTTGATCGTGTTCTTCTTTTCTGCTTCGTCTTTGGTTTTCTTTTTTTTTTATTTTTTTTTCTTACTGGTTCTACAAGTTTTATGGCCTGTTGCCTTGACTTTGCTTAGGCCAAATGGCAGACGAACACACACCACACCACACAACACCACCCATCAGTATCCCCCACTTCCCCGTTCCGTTCCGTTCCGTTCCGTTCATTCCGTTCCTTTCCTTTACTATCCCATTCCTTTCCATTCCATACGAAACTGAACCTGGGGTTCCTCCTATGATGATGATGATGATGATGATGATGATCTTTGTCTATGCTCTACACTCTTTTTGCTTCTTCTTTGGCAACTTGTACTTTTGCTGTTGGCCAAGATTGTTGGATATTTCTCTCTGTGTCGGTGTATGTGTGTGGCTCTTAGTAGCTTGTACTTTGCTATAGTTATATAATTCTTTGTATCCCTCCGTTCGTTCGTTCGGTTCGTTCGGTTCTTTGGTTCTTTCTGGGTTTTTTTTTTTTTGCCATTGTGGCTGTACTGTGGCTGTGTGTGAAGTTCTTGGCCATGGGCACAGCCACAGCCCAGCCCACAGACTAAAGTAAAATAAAAATAAAAGAACCAAAACCGTATTGTAAGTGAGTTGGGGGTCCAATGATTGAACAAAGAGCCAGATTTCAGTGTGACCAAAGCCCCAACGAACAGAAGAGGGATCGCAAAATTAAACATTGAAATTATTGGAGTTACCAAAGGGTTCTAGGCCCCATCTATAGATAGATAGATACTATATAGATCTATCTATGATTACTAATCATCTGCAGAATGTGTGTGAATTTACTTTAAATGAAAAAAAAGCTTTGTAGGCTGGAACAAAAGACAGTCTGTGGCTTCTGTTCACAGAGAGAAGCCAAGCGATTTCCCTTCAAAATAGCCTATCATTACAATATCCGCAAAGAAAACGCATAAAATTATCCAACGGAAGCGTTCAAAATACATTTTTAAGTGGAAGAAGAAGTAGGAGACAATGGATAGTAGAGACCGGCTCAAACGAAGGGGGTGGGGAGGATCGGTTGGACTGGAAGAACGTGAAGGAACGAAGGCAACGTGTTATTTAATTTAATAAATGTAAAAAAAAAGTTATAACCATGAAATTGAATGCCGATGTAAGGGGGGAAGGGGGCAGAATCATGAGTGTGGCGTGTGAAGATGATAATGATTCAAGATGAATATGTATATCTAGTATATTAAATATATATACTATATAATTAATGCCCAGACCAGAAAAGAACGTTAAAAATATCTTAGAGACAAAAGACTTAGGCAGCAAACCTGCCCAAGAGCAGAGAGGTAGAGCTAGAGGTAGAGCTAGAGGTAGAGCTTACGGGTAGAGGAAGGGGTAGAAGAACCAACAAAATGAAATTCACTTTCAGAAAATCGAAACGATATTCATTAATAAACGCTCTCAACGACCCCCCCTAATGAAAGTTCCCCAAATATTGTCTGAGAAATTAAAACACGAACGACCTCCGCCTAAATCGAAAAACGAAATGACTTAATAATCATTTCTTATGCTGGGCGATTATATAAGAACCAAATCCTAATTTGAATCTGAACCCCAGAAACAGCCAGCAGAACAGAACCCAGACTGGAGAATGGAGAATGGAGAGCTGGGGGAACAAAACGCTTACGAAATTCAATGAAAGTGATTGATGTTGAAGTAAGCCCTGGCTTTGTAGCCACAGAATGGTAGATAGATAGACGGATATAGTATTGTGAGGAGGGAGAGAGAGAGAGCGAGAGCGGGATCATCGTCATGGTGTGGGCGAATACCGGAGGAGAATAACAAAGGGTAAAAAGAGTAACGTAAAGTAAAGCTAACCGAAAAGCGAAGCTTGAAATTGAAAAGATTTCCAAGCAATAGATAATGTCATTTTGTATGGCACTTTGTGCTGATTCTCGACTGACAGATTTGTGGCAATTATTTATCCATTTAAATGGCGCGAATGATTCAATAACTAAATCAAATAATATTTGGGAGTGGCTTGGAGGCAAAGGCTTAAAGAAGAACTGGCAGAAATTCTTTGAATTAAGTAAATTTGAGACATCGTAGAGAATCCTCCTTTATAAATACATAGAACCCAACTAACAGTCAAAACATTGCAAACAATGAATTCCAAAAATACCTTTAAGAAAATCTAAAGAAATGAAAACTAATAACCCAAATGCCAGACATTCCTCGAGGGCAAATGAAAATGTATGCCCATCCCTCCCAAAACAGAACTTAAATCAAAATTAAATGTAGAATATTTTTGACATTTCTTGAAGACTATTTCTTGGCTATCTTCATTTGATATTAACTTACCATTTTGAACCTCGCTTGCTGCTGCTGCATTGTGATCGACATCCAATTCCGTAGAGTTTTGATTTTGATTTTGATTTTGATTGAGATTGGGATTGAGATTGAGTCCATGGTCTATGAGGAGACTGTGACGCGACTGTCCGAAGTAGTGACGGCGATGGTGGAAGCGTTTACGCGTCAGACTCAGCGGCAGTTGGTCATCCTGCTGCTGGAATGGCGATGACGTTTGACACTGACCCTGCGGCTCTGGATGGGGATGGGCGGGCGATGGCGATGGCGAGGGCGAGTGCGGTGTGCCAGAGCCATGTGGGCTGAGCGGTGGCACCAGGCATCGGTCATCGTCCTGGCTCTTGTGCTGCAGCAGGTTCTGTGATTCGAGCAGACGCTGTTGCTGCTGATGCAGGCGGTTCTTAATCAGGAAGATCTTCGGCATGGTGGTGGTGGCGGCGATTGGCGATTAACGGATACACGATTAACGATCGGCGACCGATAAACGAGCGATTAAACACGAACGACGCAACGGAACGCGTGACGCGACGAAACGCGCCAGTGGGGTCGAGTGGGGAGGTGGTCTTCAAAGGGTTCCCGAATAAACAAAACACTAATCCAATTGTGTGTGTATGTTTGATCCTTGCCCCGCCCACTGTGTTGTGCACAAATAGCGCAACAAAAAAACAAACGAAAAAAAAAAATGTGATACAATTTTTGAGATATTTTTGTATTTTTTGTTGTTGTTTGTATCCTGAGCTGAAGCTCAAGTCAACCTTTGCTTGGGCTTCTTCATTATAAATAATCCATGTTGTTCTCTGCTTCTCTGGTGAAGGTGTTTTTTTTTTTTTTTTGGTGTTTTTGTTTGTTTGTTTTTCTTGTTTTTTTCGTCAGAAGCACTTGCAAAAAATTAACTTGAAAAAAATTTCGTAAGTTTTAGTTTTAGGTTTTTTTTTTATTTTTTTAATTTTAAGTTTTGTTTTTTTTTTTGGTTTTTGGTTTTTTGTTTGTTGTTTTTTTTTTCTCACAATGCACGAAAAGTATTTTCACAGTATTTTTTTGTGTGTGTTGCGGTTCACGCGGTTTTTGTTGTTATTGTTGTTGTTTCTAGTTGAACTTGTCATACGTTCTGTGTGTAATATTTTTTTGTGGGCTGTGTTTTTGTTTTGTGTCAGTTGTGTGAGGAGGTGGGTGGGGGGAGCTCAGGTGAGAGCGCTCAGGTGAGTTGAAGCGAAAACACGTGCATTCACAACGCCGGCTCGCCACTTACTGTATTCGAGCGGTCCCAGACGTTGAGCAGTTAGGCCAAAGTCGTCCGCCGTCAGCAGCACAGCACAGCACACACACGGATCCATGGATCTCGCCGTGCGACACAACAAACTCAGTTAGATTGGTCGCTCTTGGCTTGGCTTGGCTTGCCCCGAACCAAACCGAACCGAACGGTGCACACACACGCTGAAACGGGGCGAATTCGTTTTTGTCGAGCCCAAACGCAAAACACCGTAAGTCGCGCGACCAGAGAGCAAGTCAGAGAGAGAGAGAGAGAGATCATAACTTCGCTTTCGTACAAATGAGTCAGAAGAGACTTCGCTTCGACTACGACTTCGGCTTCGGCTCTGGATTGTTTCTCCCGTTCTTCGTTCGGCTTACGGCCTTGCGGTTCTGTAGGTGAGAGCCGCCGCCGCATCGTGAGCGCACAGAGCAGCAGCACCTGTGTGTGAGAGGAGAGTGAGAGTGTTTTGTGTGCGTTGCTTCATTTCGCTCACATAACGTTTCTCATGCAGTTTTTTTTTCTTTCTTCATTCCCTGTGTGTTCCTACGGAGTATCTGTGTGCATGTAAGCCATGTGTGTGCGTGTTGCCTAACTTGTTGGTTCAGAGTCAAGGTAGAGGCAATCATCATCACGATGATGTTGTTGCTGTTGCTGACGATGATGATGATGATCGCTGTGTTTGTTCTTTGCTTTGGCCATTTGCCGGTTGAGATGGTTTTACTTGTACAAGTATTATTTCTACCTTCATCTCTCTTTCTCGCACGCTGTGTGTGTGTGTGTGTGTAGTGCTGTACTTGTTGTACTTAGACGTTGATTTTTACTCTTCTTCTACTACTTCTTGGGCACTTCTTGTTGTTGGTGGCTTTGGCTCTTTGCTCTCTGCTCTCTCTCTCTCTGCTCATGACTGTGAAATAACCGAAATCAAAGGATGAGTAGGAGTTGCCATACAAATCGATATTTCGTTGGGGCCTTCCCTTCGTTCATATCGTTAAATACTTTTTGGTAAAGTTGGAAAATATTTTTTGTTATTTTTATTCCAAGTTCAAATCTCTATGCATGAAGAGATTATTCCCTTTGGAAGGAATTTCGAGAAAGTATTAATCATATTTCTTGTGCTTTATTTCTAATAGATCGTTTTTGTTTTCTTTATAATGCAGATATTGAAATGAATAAGATATTTATTATATAAAAATAAATTTTTTTATTTTAAAATTACAAAATGTAGATAATAAATTTAAGATAATTTCCAATCGGGTTCGTTTATTTTAAAGAAAATTTTCCTTAAACTGAAAACATTTTCCAAACCTTTTTATTGCCTTCCCCATTAGATTTCTGATAGTCGAATATCTGTAAGAAATAAAGGAAAACTTCTTTCAAATTGGCTCGAATATCTGAATATTTGTGAGTTGTTTCCAACATGCATACATGCATACATACATACATACATACATACATACATATTCTGCATGCTAACATCAGGTTTGTGTCCTAAGTCATTTGATTTGATCGCATTCGAAGGAGCTACGAAAATTCCAATAGTCCAGGGGCCCTACAAGAATTTCATCATTATCATCAGTGCGTGTGTGTATGTGCGTGTGTGCGTGTATAGCGACGAAGGAGACAAGAGGTAAAATACAATAAGAAGAAATAGCAAGAGAAACAAAAAAAAAAAAAACTGAGAAAAAGTACCATATAAGCGAAATTAAACGGCAAAATAGTTGGCACCGCAGGCGCGCAGGCATTTAACGAGCAGCCAGACAGGCCTCTCTCTCTCCCGCTCCCTGGATCAGGTGTGTCTCTGTGTGTGTGTGTGTGTGTGTGTGTGAGAGTCTCTCTCTGCTTTTGCGTATGTATAAATGTGTGTGTGCGCACACGAAGACTAAATCTATGGAGGAGACTTCGCCTTGGCGCTTAGAATGCGCTAAGAATGGCAAATAAGATTGCCAGCAGCAGAGGCAACAGAGGTAGCAGAGGCAGCAGGCACCAGGCAGTGAGAGCAACAGATAGCCCATAGCCAGCCAGAAAGAGAGAGAGAGGGAGAGAGAGAGACAGCTAGAACGCTACACTGCTCTGACGCGTACAGGTGTGATGGCAACGGATAACTAACGTTATTTCACACGCACACACACACTCACAGGTCGCGGCAAGTGATGTAAGCGACGGCGAATTCAGCGCGTCGAATGCGAGCAGCGCACACCTGTGGTACACACACACACATACATACAAGCGAACGGAGAGGGACAAACACACACACAAACACACAGATATACCTTTTGCGGCGACGTAACAAATTTACAGCTAACTTTTTACTTGTGTGAGAGTGAGAGAGGCAGCGAAAAACGAAGGCAAATACGAAGCAGAAGCCGAAGCTGTAGCTGTAGCTGTAGCCGAAGCGGAATCCGCAACCAAGAGCACGGCTCAGAGAGCAATCGATCGCGAGAGATTGGTAGAAGAAGAGTCAGAGTGGGAGAGCTAGAGAGAGAGAGAGAGAGAGAGCGGGAACAGGTGAGAGAGAGAGAGATAAAAACCTGTTGTTGGCTTTGGCTTTGACTGTGACTTTGCCGTTGAGGCAGCGCGTAGCAATGTTAATGTCGTGACGCCGACGCTGACTATGGCAGAGGCAGCAACAGCAGTAAAGTGTTGGCTTCTTGGTTGGAGCCTCCTGAAGAGCCTCTTCTTCTTCTTCGTCTTCTGTCCCTGCGCCAACTTCACTCTCACTCGAAAATGCCGCTCACTGGCCAAAATGCAAGTGTTTTGCCACTCGGTTCCTCGGTTCTCGGTCCCTGGGCTGAAGAGCCCAACATCAAATGAATCCCCCCACCCCCCATAATATTCGATTATCTTTTCGGAATTAAGGCTTATGATATGGAAATGCTCAGAACACTTGCACAGAATAAAGACCACTAGACAATTTACTTAAATATACCAAGATGAATATTTTAAATTAAAATAATGGAAATATTAAAGAGAAATGTGGTTTAAATACAGTAATGGAAACGTCAATGATTTTTCGTATTTTTTCAAAAATTTTGTTCATACAATATTATATGTATATAAAATACCAAAATGAAAGTGTTTTGCTGTTCGACCCCCTGGCTCACTGGCTGAAGAATATTAGAATAAATATATATTTTTTTAAGCCTGCTTATGTCCTTTGTGTTTATATTTGGTATATACATATATAAGTGGCTGTGTGGCGTCATTTTTCACTTCATCATGAGCGTATGCATTGCCGTTGATGGTATCCAAAGAAGTTTGATTTTTTATTGGTCTCTATTCAGAAGTGATCTTATTTTAGTTGGATAAAATTGTGAGCTATTAGGTTTAGTGAAGGTCCAAGTGTCAAGGGCAGAAGAGGAATTAGAGCTAATAAAAAATTTAATCCTATTCTCATGAATGATATTTATTACTTTAAATATTTGCAAATATTTGTGCTAAAATTACCGAAGAGAAAGAGGGGAATATATAAAAATATATAAAAAAGATATAAATAAAATATATAAAAAATATTATTATATAAATACTTATAAAGATTGATGCAGTGATCAAATTTTGATTCTATTTAATTATTAGCTTAACAACTGAGGGTTTCTTAAAAAATTATGATACCCTTTAATGTTCCTATAATTTAAGGATTTCCATATCCAAATGTCCAAATTTTCAAGGCCTTTAGATCCTTTGCAAAGTCAACGGCTCTCAAATCCCAAAACTAACAAGTTTCGTAGTGAATGTTATTAAATTTCTCCATATGAATGTTATGTTTTTCGGCAATATTATCTATTATTATTATTTTATTCTGTGATCAACCTTAAGTCCGAAGAACCAACTCCCCATGATGGTCCCCATACATAACGAATCTATAGCATTTTCTTTGATGGCTCTCTCATGCGGTTTCTCTATGATGTTCTTTAAGCGAAAAGCCAGCCATCCAATTCATGCAATGCAGTGTTCTGGCTCTCGTACTTGAGATGTTCTTGGCCCAGACCTAGGCCACCAAAACCAAAACCAAAGGCATACACATAGACTTGCAGTAAGTCTGTACTACCCAATGCCTTGACTTTGGCTTTGTCTTTTTGCTGTTGGGTGGGGCTGTCAAGGGAGTGGGGTGGGTGAGCCTCTGTGATTGTGTGTGTGTGTGTGTGTGTGTGTGGCTCAAAGAAGAGAACTTTTTCTCGTTTTTACTGTCTGCATCGACGGCGCTGGCTCCTCCTGGGTTGGTGTTGGGTAATTGCTGTGTTTAAGAATGTGTTCCTTTGGGCCGAGTTCTGTTGGGCCTCAATGCGCATGCACTAGAACTCTCTTTCTCTCTCTATCTCTCTCTCTCTCTCTCTCTCTCTGTACACTAACTCTCTCTCTTTCTCTCTTTTTCGGGCTGTGTTCTTTCCAGTTGTTGTTTTCTTTACATTTTATCTTTATTTGCTCAATTGTCGTCATCGAGATCGGCGAGTCGCTAAAATAATGCTTCAAGTGAAGTACGCAAAGAGAGAGAGAGGGAGAGAGAGAGCAAGAGAGAGAGAGAGAGAGAGCATGGAGTGGCGCAGAAAAAGAAGAAGAGAAGGAGGAGGAGTAGGATGATGATGGAAGAGCGGCAGGGAATACCTGTTTTACCTGTTTGTATACCTACTAACGTACTAACACTGTTATAGCGGATTCAACGCGCACCGCACACGCCTGACAACAACAACAGCCACAGCAGCAACAGCAATTGAAGACGCGACCAAAGCGGAGGAAGCAGATGAAGTAGAAGAGGCACCACCATCCACAGCAGCAAGCAGAGGATGATGATGATGAAGAAGGAGAAACAGCAGCAGCAGCACCACCAGCAGAAGTTCTTGCAGTACAAATCCCAACGCCCAAACCCCACACACACACACACACACACACAGAGAGAGTGAGGCATGGGCGCCGTCAGCCTGTCGTTGGTTCTTTGTGTACCCTACCCATAGTGGGCTTACAGCGCGTTGCCGCGTCATGCAGCAGCGCCTCTCGGTTGCCTCTAAATCCTTTAACTCTATTTCATTTATTTCCACGCATAATTAAATTAATTTGTTGGCCATATTTATGGGCAAATGATTCTACTCAAATTTGGAAAAATTTCCATCAAAATCGGCGAAGTTTTGCGGTATTCAGGCCTGATATTCCTTTGTTCTTACCTTTGGCCGAACACAGGAACACAGAACGCCAATCTGCGTCCGAACCACTCCCTTCTGGCGCCCATCCTCCGGCCGCTTTGTGTTTGCTGCTTCCTTCACTTCTCTCATTCGCTTCTTCTCGTGTTCTTTTGCATTATTATCAACATGATGATGATCATCTTGGGCCTGGACTTTGGTTACACCTTTGCCATTATTTTTGCAGACTCCAAGCTCGCCTCCACACTCCTCCTTCCCCACACCGCCCCCACCGCCCCGCTCCACCCAGTCTTGCCTTGCCTTTTGCCGTTGTTTATTTGTTGTTTCCTTTTGTGCCGTTTTATTAACGCTTCACTTTTTTTTTTGTTGTTGCCCCCTGTGTCCACGTTCTTTTCTGACGCCAGGAATCTTGCTCTTCTTGTCCTAACCGATGTCTATTTCTGGCCGGGATCCGGAAGGGGGAGGAGCAGGCGGAGAAGGAAGGGAGGAAGACTTGGACGTGGTTGTGGCTGTGGATGTGGAGAGTAAATCCGGTGATGGAGAGCGGCTTGAGAAGGGGGACCTGTGGGGCGGTGTTGTGTTGGGGGTCACTGGGAGACGGCTAATTTATGTTGGAAATGCAAAAAATTGAAAATATGCAACGGAGATCCGGACGTGAGGAGCAATCCGAAGCAGAGAGCTTAAGCGAGAAGGCTGGATGGCCATAGGAGCGGACAGCGGCGAAAAAAAAGGGCGTTTAGAAAGATATTCGATGAGAAGAAATTGTAGAGGATGTTCCGCTAAAAGAAGTGACTAAGATATATGTAGAATATAGCATAAAGAAGGAAGAAGAAGGATTTTCAGAAATGTTTCTCAAGCGGAAACTAGGAACGAAAAGGAAAGTCATTAGTCTCAGAGGTTTCATGTAAATTCAGCGTCAGAATATCAAGAAATTAAATTAAATTAAAAATTAAATTAAATAATTTTACTTTAACGGATTTGTTTTGTGACTAGTGCATTAATTTATAAGAAACTTTCTTGTCGCACTAGAAAAAAAGTAAATAAATATAAATAAAAGGAAAAGAAATCTATACGCTGTGTGGAAGTTGTCCATTTGACTTTCCGTTGAACTTGAAGCATTTTCGCTGATTTCCTTGCACACTTTTTATGGTTCAAGTTGGAGTCAACTACGAGTACGTGTGTGTGACTACGAGTGCGAGTATGTACATATATGAAAACCAAAACGTAACACAAATTTAACTTTAACTTACAAATAATATCATTGTCATCATCAGGGCTGTTGACACCCTTCTGTTGCTGTTGCTTCTTCTTTTTTATGGTATGTGATATACATATGTATGCATGTATAAAACTATGTACATGGGAGGAAAAAAAAACTTAATTAAAATTGTATGCAAGGTCAAAATTAGTTGCCAACGTGGCCATCAAGCCACCACGAACGGGCAAAAGCCAACAACAACATTGTCAGAAAATTACTTTATTCATAATTCAGTTAAGAGGGCGCCCGGCAGCTCCCCGTACCAAGCCCCTAACTAGCCACCACCTACCCCCTTTCCGCCCCTGTCCCAACGATCGCACTGAAGCGTCAAGCGCACGTTTCTTAAACTAATTTTCAAAAAGAAGGCAACCTGATTGCAATAATAATGAGATAGTTTTTCAGAATTCGTATAGGTATCTCTCTGCGTAGAAATAGCTTTGTATTATGTACTTTTAGGTATGTCTAGCATATGGCAAACATCAGACAAAACAGTTTGTTTCCACTCATGTGTGTGTGTGTGTGCTTTGGCACATCTGTAAACCTTCTTCGTGTTGCCTGGAAACCAAAGACTTGGGCAACAAAATAAATTTTAGTTAAAGGCTTTTCAACAGTAATTAGCAGGAGTTAAAATTTTTTTTTAACCAAAGAATTGGGCAAGAAACTTTATAAACTATGTAGTATATTTTTTTACTTATACAATTTATAGCTATAATTAAATAAATTATAAATAAATTATAAATAAATAACTTATAAATTCTCTTAAGACTTATCCAAAAATTAGTTGGTTAACAATTTTTAAAGAAATATTATCGTTTCGGTCGCCAAATGACTCGGTTTATGCAGCTTCCTGCTTGTCCGTGCTGTCTCTGATTCAATTCAAATGCCTAAAAAAATCTTCTTCCACTGAATTTTAGATAAATTTACGTAATATAATATCTCGGCTACATAATCGGCTATAACTTTTAGTATTCATCTTGCTCAAATTCCTGCAAAAGGATTTGTTTGTATTTTATTTTAAATTTTTTTTTGCTGTTGCTGTTGCTTGGCAGGTTCCCTCCTCTCGCCAAACAGTAACCGCACGTAAGACAAAAGATTGCCGGACAAGAGACTTGTTGGTTTCTCAGTTTATGATTTTCGGGCTGGGCGTATTTTAGTTAAGACCATCTCTCACCCTCCGCAGACACACTGGCTGGCCGGAGGGGCGTGCCAGCAGGGCAAACCTTTTGGGTGAGCGCTGTGCGTGCTGAGCACTGATCCGTACCGATACGATCCGAGGGTATGGGATTGGAATATACACATATTTTGTGCACTCAGCGGGTACTCTGGAGTTATACAATAGCGCCGCAAAATGATGATAATCCGAGAGACTCCGGCTATGATGAACAAACACCACAGCACACCACACCACACAACAAGTGCAAGTGACAACAAATTGAACAATGCTACCAACAAAAGTAACAATTGCATTTCTTGGCTTTGAGTCTACAGCCAAAAAAAAAAAAAATAAAAATAAGAGACTCCAAGACAAAGGCAGACACCAACAAAGGGTAAGAAGTGCTGGCCAATTGTTTTAGCAGCAGCCACCAACAATAACTGAAACATTAGCCACTTGAAGCAACAACTTCAACAACAGTTACACCAACTAAACCCCACACACACACACATAAAAAGTTCCACAAAAACTGCAACAAAGCCAAAGCCACAATTCCAACAACAATTACACCACCACCAACAACAACATCGGATTAACCATTAAACTTCAAATTCAAATTCAAGTTCATGATGAATGTATCACGTGCAAGAGCCGCAGTCGAAGTCAGCGTCGAAGTCGAAGTCAGTGTCGGACCTCATGGAGTCTCTGACTCCAACATTTGGCGCTTTTTTTTTTGTGTGTGTGTTTGTTGTTGTTGTATGTCTGTACTTTTTGCTGTAGTTGAGCCGAACACGACAAGAGCCCAACTAAAACAACAACAGCAGCAACAACAACATGCTGCTGACTGCGTTCGGTACCTTGTGGCACAATAAGTGGCTTGATTTTGTTGTTGTTGTTGGTCGCTACACTTTTGGGCCATATGGATTCGCACCACAAAGGGGGCGCCATATATATGTTCATACATACATATATGTATATGTAGGTACTATAAAGAATTTGGAGAATAAAATAATAATAATAAAATAATAAAAATAATATAATAATAAAATTAATATAATAATAATAATAAAAATAATATAATAATAATAATAAAAATAATATAATAATAATAATAAAAATAATATAATAATAATAATAAAAATAATATAATAATAATAATAAAAATAATATAATAATAATGTGGGAAAATAATATAGAGGATGATAATAGGATTATATAATCCCTACTACCCTAGCGTGGTGGCCGAAAGTATGTGGACACCGGAAAATTACTATCTTTACTTGTTACTTGTTTTTCGAAGCAACAAATTTTCGTATAACAGAAAGATGACTATCGAAAATTAATGTTAAAAATGTTGATCAAGAATCGAACAATTTCACTTGATTGGGTGCCCAAAATGTTTCCTATATAAAAAAAAGTCTTTTTTGTTAAAAACAAAAATCATTGATTGAATGATAGAGAAAGGAAATACTCTTCTGAACATTGAAAAACTATACAAAAACTTCTTACTTAGAAAGGAACCTTCATTCAAGTTTAAGTTCGTTGCCAAAGTCTTTGGTTTTCAAGCTACAGAAGCAAGTTTCAAGTGGAAAGAAAACTGAATGATTGTATGTAAATTTTCCTGCAGTTGGGTAGCGTAGCTCATTCGCAAAGTTTTGCTGGCTGAGCTTTTTGTACCTTTGATTTTGTCCGCCTGCGCTGGCATGGGGCGGGTTTTTGGGTGTCTACACGTACACAAGCACACACAAAAAACACCGAGCTATACTTAGACTTAGAAACGAAGGCACACAAATGCTCACTGGTACACCGGGAAGCAACCTGACTGCTCTGTGTGTTTGCTTATATTTATTTTTACCTCTATAATGTTCGTTTTTTTTTTTTTTTTGGTTTTTTTCGTACGAGTTTTTGGCTATTTACTTCAGTTGAACATTTTTTTGCGGTTAGTTTCGTGGCAAGTGGTTGGTTGGTTGGCTTTGGCTTTGTTGTTGATGTTGCTGTTGCTGTTGTTGCTGTTGTCATTACTGTAGTTCGTCTGTGGTGTTTTTTGTTTGGTTTCTTTGGAACACTGCTCGTTCCGTATCGTCCCAATCCGTCCCGTCTGATGGAGTTGTTTCTGTTTCGCTTTACATCATAATTCTCGTCGGACATTTCCCACTCTCTTTCTCAACCTTTTACGTGTATTTCGTTCTTATGTAACTCTTGCCTCACTGTCCCCGTTCATTGGCAGCAATTATGCAACGATCAGGTGGCACTTCCAGAATTATTCACTTGCCCACTTACCTACCCCTCCCTCTTGCTCCTATTACCCAGTCATAACTTCGTTTTGGATTGTCTCAAGGTGATTCGAAATTAACATTGACTTTGACTTTGACTTCATTACAAGAGGCAGGCAGGGGCAATGTCGTTCCTATTGTTGATCCAAATCAAATCTATATATCTGCCAATGTGCCAACGAGAGCAATTTGGATAATTGAATTCGTTTATAGTTTTCTTCTTCTTCTTCTGCCATTTTGTTGCATGTACTCGCAGTTTATTTTTTTTGTACTTAACTTTTTGCTCAATTGTGGCAGGCGACTGATAATTTGAATAATCGTTTGCTTCCTGTCCGCTTCCTGTTTGCTGCGGGACAGTTTGTAGAGCAGAGCGCCCACTTGAGCTATGAGTACTTATTCTTTTAGTATTCCAGATACCAAAGGCATCGATCATAGTCATTGATTTGTTATAGATTAAATTACGGAAGGGACCTACGTTGCTTCTACGCTTTTCTGCCCAACTAAAAATCTCCAAGCTTTGCCCCACCCTCTTAATTTAGTATTATGACACGCCCTAACACCTTAAGTCAACATCCATGTCATGCGACATTTAATAGGGCTAATGCGCCATAATCATGCTGTTGCAATAAGAGAGACGTCAACACGCCGCACCGCAGGGAACTTGATTGATAAAAAAAAAAAAAAAAAAAAAATAAAGACCCAAGAGACTGAACTCAAAAATCCAAAAACTTAAACCAAAACTTAAAGAAAGAAAGAAAGAAACTCCCCAACAAGTAAGGGGTGGGGTGGGGTGGGATCAACCGATATAAGATACGATCATAAGATGGTATGACTATTTCCACAATGGTATATACCGAAGAAAAGTCAACTGCAGTTTAGCATATCAATGGTGGGGCCATCGATGATAAATGCGTTCGTTTCTCGTTTGCCAACCAAACAATCTTCCATCAATGAATGCGTTTTGGACCCTGCTCCAGGCCACTACGACCCGGGGACCTAAGCTCCACAACGCAACACAAACAAACAGACCGAACGAACGAACGAACGAACGAATCAAGTTAAATGAATGCTAATGCTAATTTACTGGAC